AACCTACCGACTTCTCTCATTTTCTGCCTAATGTAATCATGCTTTGTCTTATCATGCCCGTGTTTTAAGTACAGGTGCTCTCCGAGTCTCAGAATCCCCTTTTCTGCTTTGACAACACCCGTGACCTCATCCTGATGCATTGCCGAAATTAAAGACCACAGCTTTTTGCTGATGCCCTCCGGTACAGGCTGGGCTAGGGAGCAGAGGGACTGGACCCTACTTCTACCTGGTTTAGCCTGGGCATCTTTCTGTGAAAGCCGGCACCTGGCCACATGCCTCCACAGCGACTTTCGCTTAAGCAATGCCCCACAGTCTATACAGTGCAAAAACTCACTGGATTTAACTGGGCAATTTGGCTGTTTAGCTGGGACTAAAGTTCCAATGCCGGCCTTTAAAACCTCAAAATTGTGCTCACGGTTTCCACTATTCCTGATCAAATCAAACTGAAGTTTACGTGCTTTAGATTTCACAGGTAGAGCCAATGCTCTGGCTACGTCACTTTCATTTCCATGTTTTCTAGTCAAATGACGGGACATTTTGTGGCAGGACATTGAACAGTAGAGGCAGAAGTGTCTCTTGCTGTATACTCGCCCCCCATTTTTCTTCTTTTGCAGCTGCATGATAACAATCTTATTTGCCTTTGGTTCGTCACTTTCCGAGTCTTGAAGAAAAGTGTTTTTGATTTTTCTTTTTCCATACTTTTTTACAGGTTTCTTCTTGACAGTTAAATCGTCAGAATCTGAGTCGACTTCATCAATTAGGGACTCTTGACTAAGCTGCACAAACAACAAATAATTTGTAATCATTCTATATAACAATTTGAAGTCATGACTTGTAGTCAGCACTTACCAGTGGTTTGTAAGCGTGCGCTTCAGTGTGCTCCTCCATGATTTCTTGCAGCCTAATGAACCACACACTTGCACCTTTTTCTAGCCTGACACCTGATTTCCTCTGTTGTGCTGCTCCATGATTGGCTCCAGCCTGCTGGACTGAAATTGCCCCAGTGTGCCCCTCCTTGATATCCCGCAACCCACCACCAGGGTTCCGACACATAACACACTTTTTTCAGGAAAGTAAACCTCCAGGGGTCCTTTCCATATTTTTACAGAGACTGCATAAGGACCGTTAGAAAAGCATTACCCATTGATTATTAAGCTTGGACCAGTGGGGTCCGGTGTTCGGGCCCCACCACGTAAAACCAGTCCCCATGACGTGAGTGGAATCTCAGGTTATGGAACCCACCAGGAGTTGAAAACAAGTGCACACACACACACACACACACACACACACACACACACAATCACTGACCGAACACATTCCACTCGTAAAAAGTTACACCTGCGACGAAATGTGATCAAGCAGTATACAGTCTGAGTAACGACTGTAATCTGGACTCGCAACACTTGGTTCTGACTGACATGGAAGCCGGCGTATGGTTCGTCCGGTCCACAAAAACGTCAGTATTGATTTCGAAGCAGTAACAGTGCGACCACAGAAGGTTTTGCGCTTTAATGCATGTTGTGTTGTTTTATTCTCGTCATCGATCAAGATTAAAACATTGAGTGGATCCTTATGTGCTTTCAAGGAAGGTATGGCCCCTACGGTTAGGAAAAGCTTTTAGTCAGATGCAGGCGCTGGCAGTGATTTACCGGAGAAACATCGAGAACTGGACTAATGTTTGGATCCGGGTGAAAGTGAGAGATACAATAATAACAATAGAGATGGAAGTAGAAGAAGGCGACGGATACATACAATCGTATTGAAAGGGCTTTCACACGTGAAAAATGTTTCCTTTGATTAATTCTATATATTAACAAGTTCTCGTGTACAACTGGAACTACCAGAGCAGTCAATTTGAGGGTGTATTCAGACCAGAAAAGTCCTTTGGTCCGCTTGCTTGGTCCGAACCAAAAGAGGACCAAACATTTTTGTTTTGGTCCGGTTCGTATTTAGACTGTACTTTTTGCAAGTGTACTTTTTTTTATGAACATATTGACGCGTGTGACGATCGGCGCTCCTATTGGACAGCGAGAGCTCACGCAGAATATATGCAGAAATGGAGGAAAATATCGAGCTCGTACGTCTGCTCTGCCTATGTTTGCTCTTTTTAGAGCAAAACGACCGCATTTTTGTGTGTCTTAGCCAGAAGTTTGGTTATATGTGCCTCTGCTCAAATTTCAAGGAGGCAGTGTCTCCTCGTTGCTTCAGGTCTGCCCACGGCTCATTGTTGTTGTGTAGCAAGCGTTAGCAGCTGTGACGTGTGGCTAATTCCTCACAGTTCCTGTCTACGGTGGCTTGTTAAGGCCAAAAAATGTGCACGTATCCTGGAGTTGTGTTGGATCGACACCGGTTGTATTCAGACCTGAATCGACTCGGACCAGAGTTCGTTTGGAAGCGGACCGAGACCACCTAAAAAAGTGGGTCTCGGTCTGGTTCTTTGGTCCGGACCAGAGTTCATTTGTGTGTATTCACACCAGCATAAAAGGTCCGGATCAGAGTTCCAAACGAATCCTGGTCCGTTTAAAGTGGACCAAAAGTGCAGGTCTGAATACACCCTCACAGTTTTTAAGTTTTGGAAGTGTAATTGTTGGTCTTCCTGACTTTTTTTGTTTCTATATGTCGTTTCTTTGTCATTTTTAATATAAAATTATCTTTTAGTAGTTAATTTTGAAATAAACATTTTAACAGAATTTTCTCTTTCTTAACTGATTCTGAACTGGTCTTGGACTGCTTCAGGACTGCTTTTGGTTTAGAGCCAAGTCAGCTTGTTTTTCCACCAGAGACATGACCATAGTTACCATAGTTTTGCTGTATTTCAGTTATATTCACCAGTTTTAGCACAGCGAGTGGAGGATAAAACTTCATGAATTACTTACCTTTAACAAATCTGGTGGAAAACAAACTTTTTTAGGGGTATTTCTCCAGGTTTGAATGAGACCAGTCAAAATGACGGCCCTGGGAGTATTGCAGTCCTAGTGTTAATAGACATTGTATTACAAAGACTATAAGAGAGGGACACACAAACAAATGTCTTAACCCAACATACATGGAATTGTATTGAACTAAAAACTCAACATATCCTATTTTACTGCTCTCTGTTCAATTCATGTTTCACTTTTTGACCTAAATCCAAGTCCTTTGCTGAGAAACAGAGTCCGTCTTATCAGTTCATTCTTCAGATCCAAATCAAATGTTGTGAGAGTTCAAACTAGTTCACAGTCCACCACTTTTCTAATTTATCTACTTTCTCATTCGTCCCAAAAACCAAATTCTTATTCAACATTATTTTGGGAAATCCCTAATTGAGAAGATGTGACTGGTCTGTACTAAAAACATCTCAATTCACTGTTTGTGTTCACTGAGCAGCGGCGAGGGCAATGTTATATTTTTGATTACATTTTGAGATTTAGCTGCACACTGGCATATGATTTTAAGACTAAGAGATCCTTTATTCTTCCCAAAGTGGGTAAATTTCAGTGTTGCATCACCAGTTACAGAATAGAAGGAATGAGGAGCACACAGCAAAAGATAAGTGGACAAAAAGTCTAAAAATAAATAAAATACAATCTCTAAATTCAGACTTTCGGACTTTAGCATAATAAATAAACAATAATTTTGTATAAAATATCTAAATTCAGCAAAAATAAAATACTGCAAGAAATATATAGTTGTATGTTTACATCTGGACACGTGTGACGGTGGACACATGTCCTTAAAACCAGTCCACATTCTACAGGAGGAACTAAACAAAGGTGTAGAATATGTTTGAGTCTGCCACGATCATTACAGCGTTATCTCCCAGGATGCTCTGCTTGTATCTCTTCCACTCACTCGCTGCGAGGCCTTGAGGCGGTTACACTGTGCAGATATAAAGTTACTTAGAGAAGACCATGGGTGATTACTCATGGTATGTTCAATTGTTTTTAATTTTGTCAAGGTTTTCATTCATTTGAAGTTCATGTAAAACAAGTTTGTGAGCAATGTAAGCGAGTGAATAGTTTTCTCAGATTGAGAGGAGAAAGTGAAAAGGCGTAAGATACAAAACTTGCAACACATTTAGACAAAAGATTGCCTCCTCCGGGACACCGCCCTGAAACCAAGAAACTGAAGGTAAAATCCTGCTCTGTGATACTGCAAACGGATATAAATTACCCTGACTTCTATTCTTTCCAAAGTTAAAGATTCCGTTCTCAGACTTTTCTTTCAGATGACAACATTTGACAACTACACTTTCACACAGGTCCACACATGTCGTTGGTGTTTAAGTTACTTTAAAAACAACCAGAATGGATTCATTAAAGTACTTATTAAATGCATATTTGGGAGAGTTTTAAGCAGTGTAAGGTTACTGCTGCTCCCGGGTCAAACAGATTATGAAGTGTGCACGTTGCTCTGAGCGAGCTCCAGGTCATGGCCTACTAAATATTTAGGGAGGGCCTGCAGCCCTCCACGCTAAGGGAGACATTAGCAAAATAAACAGCGAAAGCCAAGAGAATTCAGAGCAGCTCACGTATATTAAACAAGTTAAGTTTAGTATCAAGACATATTGAGAAATCAATTAAAAAATATGGTTTACAGTCTCGAGAGTGACGACTCCCTCTGAGACTTAACTTCTGTGGTTCTGTGTCAAGTCCCATCTTTCAATGGAATATTTCAAATATATAAAAACATGTGGAACATCTCTCCACACAGGGGCCTCCGCTTGTGCCAGAGCTGAAGCAACAAGATCTGCAGACACTAAAACACACAAACACACTGGACCTGGACCTGGACAGAGACCAGGACCAAGACCAAGACCTAAACAACGACCAGTCCAGGACTGTAACTAGGACCAGGACCAAGACCTAAACTAGGACCAGTCCCAGACCAAGACCAGTACTAGGAGCAGGACAAGGACCAGGACCAGGAGAAGGACCAGAACCAGCACCAGTACCAATACTAGGACCAGGAGCAGGTCTCAGAGCAGCTAAAGACAGACACAACAGACCCCAGGAACGCACCATCGTCCAGCGTGTTGTCCTCCAAGAGTCTGTTCAGGCTGCTCAAGCTGGAGATCTGACCGTTCTTCTGCAAAGACTGCAACAGAGAAAGAGAAACACAGCAGGTAAATTTCACAGAAACCTAAATTGAATAAAAACAAAGTCAAATAATATTAAACAAATAAATACATAGAAATCTTGCATACACATTTCTCTTTCAGTTCAGGAGACACAGGTGAGAATAACAAGTGCCAAAGTAAACATTTACAGTCACATATTAACAGTTTAGAGCAGAGCCAGCCAGACTCAGGAGCCTATCTTCACATCTCTGTCCACACATGGGGTTTTTGTTCTGGCAGGAGGTGGCTGTGAGTGACAAGGTTACAATGGCGAGCTGGCCCGTGCTTTGTGGTGTCCTGGGGCAGCAAAAGGCAACCAGAGCCTCCCCACAGAGCTGCTAATCTAACTAATGGACACGTCAGGCCTGCATTCCCAGCACTCCATGAAACTCAATACAACCAAACGGAGATTCTACACGGGAGAAATACTACAAATTAAAGTGTCAAAATTTTGGGAAGAGCTGAGTTGGTGGGAGGAGTGAGCTCTGTATGGTCTATTCTAGCAATCGAATAATCATTAACTACTCATTATACAAAGGCGAGTGATTTCACAATATACATATGTAACTGTGTATTGGTCTTGTTTTCAGTAATAGAGTAAAGCTGCGATAGAACTAGCCGTCCTGTATATTTAGATGTGTTACTTTCATCTCAGCACTTCGGGAAACTTCCATCCATCCATTCTCTTCCACTTAATCCATTACTGGGTCGAGGGGGTGGCAGTCGGAGCTGCACCCAGTACACAGAGCACCAGCCCCTCACTGATCCTCCTGCAGGTGGTGAGTCCACAGGAGCCTTGAGCTTTGCCCAAGGACACAACGATAGCAATCAGCATCAGAGGGAGTCGTGAAGTAGGTCTGGTCTCAAACCCACAACCTTCAGGCTCAAAGGCCAGTGCTCTACCAACTGAGCTTCTGTCGCCCCAGCACTTCAGGAAACTTGTTTTAGAAAATGAATGTGCTATAAATAAAGTGAATGGGAATGGATAAACTGGTCTGTTGTGGGTGGAAAAACAATACCATGCATATACCATAATTGCTGGACTAAAAGTTATTAGACTCATTTCACAGAGCGATGCAGTAAGAAAGTAATCTTTATTTATATAGCGCAGTCAATGTACTGTATGTTTAAGGTCATTTTAGTAAGACAATGTATGGTATTTTTTATTTTGTTAGTGTTGTGTCCAAATTGTGATTAAAATCAAGGCTGCTCTCTGACCAGTGGGGGCGGGTCCATGAGCATGTGTGCTGACATACTTGCAATACCGCCCCAAACCAGTGGGGGTGGACCCAGAAAGAGAATTATCCAATGCTTTTGTATAGCGTCTTCTTTCCTCTCGAAAACAGCTTTCCAGGATGGTCCAAAAGTCTACTCTTGGCCCAAAGCTACGTTCCAGGTTTGTGTCAATGCTGAGGGGAGTATATATTTTTTTGGAGCACTCTAGGTTAGCAAATGCGTTTTTTCATATTTTCCTGCAGGAGGGGCTGCCCGCGGCCATTGTGAAAAAGCCCCATTGAGTACAAAAGTGATGCCGCATTAGTTTCAATGACGGATATAGGCGTGACGTCGTCCGTTAATATTTACAGTCTATGGCTCTGACATAATAAAAAAAAGTAGATATATATTTTATGCCAAACAACATTTTTCTGGAAACAAACAAAAGGGAGTATTCTAGGAGAATTATATTTTAGTAGTAGTAGTAAGTAGTAGTAGTAGTAGTAGTAGTAATTTTAAACATGTTATTAGGAACTCTGCCTATGGATAAGTCATTTTGTGATCAAATCTTTATCAACAACAATGTATACATATCATATACTTTAAAGACAAATGGAAAACGATCCCCAATAGATATAACGATGTTTCTTGATGTTGCTCTGCAGTAACATCAGTGAGCATGATATGATCATATTTATCTTAGTAAAACCATTAGGGTCTTGACCACTTCACCACAGACCCGAGATGACCCCTCTCTCCGATACAGACCACATGACAAGCATTCCCAGAATTCTTTTTTCCTCCACCAAATTCAGCACAACACTTATCTGTCACCTAAACGCGGAGCCTTTGACCGCCACTGTCCCGGAGTCACCCCCAAAGCCTTTAATACCAATGGAAACACACACTGACATAACATGGACGCAGCATACCAACAGCAAAGCCAGAAAAGTGTTCTTTAGACCAAATACCTCATCACAAATACCATTCGTCTAAATCTGTTCATTAGCCAAATTACCCCAATTACTCTTACTTCTTTATTAAAGTCAGAGATTTTATACTCAATTCTTGTTTCTTATTATGCTAACACTAGAGATGTTATACCATGGATCTATAATAATAACTGGATAGGGTATTACTAGCTTATAGCTGTCCCGCCCATGGGCACAGGGGGCGCCCGTGGTACTACAGACTAAATTCACGCCGGCTACCCAGAAAAAAGTCCCATAGAACTCAATGTAAACTAAAACAGCACGACCTCAGCTGACAGAGAACCTACAGCTTTCATAAAGGTCGGATTTTGTGGGGATTGTAGTGTCCCTTGTTGTCCTGAACTTTTTTCTTCTTAAATCCTTCGGTTTTCTTTAAATCCACACTTTACTGCCACAAACTCTGCTCGTTTGGCTCCCGCTCTAGCTCCGCTCTGAGCAGCAGCTCTGATTGGTCAGAGCGAGGCCGAGCCCCTCTGTGCACGTGCGTGAGAGCCACACAATTTATTTCCATCACAGCAGAGCAACTGGCTAGCTATCCAGGGCTGGGCAATTATTTTCTCCAGGTGGACCACATTGGGATAGAGTCATATTGTGGAGGGCCAGACCCGTTTTCATGCAGTTACATTTTCATTAAATTTGGCAAAACATGATTAACTTCGTCTGTGAAAGCTTGCTTGGGAACGAAAATCCTTTAAAGAAGAGAAGGAGAAGGAAACATTCATAGACAGTGGTCGATCCATTCCCTATGGACCGATGGCTCCTGTGTGTTTGTTATTATAGCATTTGCTTTGTTCCATTCTCTAATCGATGTTGAGGAAGGGACAACTTTGATCAGTCCTCCAAGAGGACATTAAGGGCCAATCAAAAACACATTCCATTGAATTGAACATGGAGCCAAGACATCCAGTTGTCTTTATTTTATATATAATTATTATTTTTGATAGATAGATTATTAATAAAGGAGAAATTTTTGCTTGTCCCATTGGCAAATATTGTTTAAAGACACATTTTGACTCACTTTTATATCACTTGCGGAGCGATACCAGTATTGATATTTGAACTGTGCCCACATGCAAACATGACATTTTTGCCATATTCTAACTGCATAAAAAGATTAGGAGAGAAGCCACTGCTGAATGGTATCATAAATATTCTGAAGATAAATAAAAGGGAAGAAGATAGGGAAGTCTAGGTGTCTCTGCTCAGACTGCTGCCTCTGTAACCTGGGCACGGATTAACCAGAAGAGAATAGATGGAATTAAAAACTGCACTGAGCCGCGACCAAACTTGACCTCAATTCAGCAACTTTCGAAAGAAGCGTTTTTCTGCCAGTTTTGCATATTTCGTATAGACGTTGGTCAAAATGGTGTAGGACAATCTAGGACACTGATTCTGAAAACAAAACAACGCTGGATAAACAGAGACGTCTGTGTGAGCGTTTGGCTTTTTCCTGTAACGCAGCCATTCCCAAACTCAGTAACACCGAGGCCCCCTTAAAAATCTGACGGGTCTGCGTGGCCCCCCAAAATAATAACCAAGAAGACAACTATAAGAATAGGCTCTTCTGGTTATTTTATTTTGGGGAAATAGCCTCTGCTACAAACATTGTAATACAAAAATTATTACAGTGGATTATTCAAGTCAAATAATGAACACAAATATTTTAATATTACAAACAAAACATTATAAATTTAACATTAAATAATTATATATTTTTTTTATTTTTTTTTATGACCATCCCGCGGCCCCCCTGCAGTACCCTCGCGGCCCACCAGGGGGCCGCGGACCCCACTTTGGGAGACACTGCTGTAACGTGATCGTTGTCGGCTTCATTGTACAAGAACAGTCCTGGATTCAGTTCGGATTCATTGTGTGGAAGTGATGAAAACTATACATCCACAATTCAGGATGACTAAAGAGTTAGACTGGGAAATGTTTAACCACTGCACCATTATTTATGTCTGTGCTCGATTCAAATGTACACTGCAAGAAGTTACGAAATATGAGGTAATAATTGCATAAATCACATGTTTTTATCTTTGAGTTCATTCTGACTGTCTTAAAACAAGATTTGCCAATGGGACAAAGCCGTTTAGTCTTATTTAAAAAAAACTATTGCTTTATTTTCTCGTTCAAAGGGAGATATTTCTTGTATCTCTTTAAAACAAGATCATTTTGTTTGTCCCATTGGCAAATCTTTTTTTAAGGCAGTCAACATGTGCTAAAAATATTATTATTATTACTTATTTTTCATCCCGTTTTGCAGTGATATGCTTGCATGATTTTAAAGTTTCCTTGATATTTGAGTTGTGTATGAACTGTTCCTTGTGTACGGACTGTGCTATACAAGTAAATCCAATGCCAAAATTAGAGTTGGAGTCCTCAATCTTGTAGTTTTAACCAGATCCACCCATAAACATTAGGATCGTTGAGTAGGATGTCTTGGATTGGTCTTCAAGGGGTCTTCTCTGTGAGGAGTTTGCATGTTCTCCCCGTGTCAGCATAGGTTACCTCCGTGTGTCCTGGTTTTCCCCTACCAATAAAACATGTACAATAGATCTGCCCTGCGTCTCCTGCGTACAAGAGACACAATGGAAGGCGCTATATAAAAAAATATGATGTGTTCTTTGCATTGAGTCTATGGTGTGGCTTTGGGGCAGGGAGTGACAACATTTATCCAGTCTCTCCTCGTAATGAAAAAAAGAATGATTTAAGACGGTATGCCAGTTTTTTTGTGTTGTTTGTTCATGTGCTACTTTTATGACCAAAGA